GAGAGAGAGAGAGAGAGAGAGAGAGAGAGAGAGAGAGAGAGAGAGAGAGAGAGCATACCTGCTGGTTGGTGACTGACGCCCGTTACGTGAGACCCAGGTCACGCTTTACAGGGATAGAGATAAATAAGAATTAGTATGAATGAACGAACAAGAACCAATGTCCATATGATCCCCCTTACTGTCAGACATGAAAGAGCTCTCTAACACTTCATAGACAGAGAGATACATAACCATTATAATGAATGAATGAAGTACAAGCAATGCCCGAATGATCCCCTGTACTTTCAGACATGAGCTCTCATGTAGCTCACTCTTCTTTGCTCCTTCACTTTTATGGCTCCTAGCTATGATGGATGATCCTGAGCCCATGTCCCACCAGTACCTCAACGGGGCCTTCTTGATGCAGTGCCTGTGGGAGATGAAGATGTAAGTCACCACAGACGAAGGTAAGTCTCCTTGCACAGTTCCCACCTCCTTCCTTCTTCTTATCCACTCTCACTACATGTCCATAGCCCGGCTTGAAGGTCTTCTCCCTCTACCTACAGAGACTCCGGCTCTCCCTACTATGCGTCCATAGCCATGGAGGTCATCTCCTTCAGCCTCAAACTCCACTTCACGTCCAAGTGCTCTGCCAACCTCACCCTCTGGGCGGAGGAGCAGCATGACTGCTTTGTGGATGAAAAGAGACCCACTGTACTTGCTGCACGGAATTATATATGTTGGCTGTCCGGTCTCCAGTACCTCTTGGCCAGGCACTACATGCCTCTGCCCGGCCTCCCTTAGTTGCACGAAGCCTTTTTGTTTTTTTCCATTTTTCATGGTTTTCATGGTAACATCACCTGAATCTCGACTTCTACCTGTCTACACTGGACCACGATGACCTACTGGACATCCATTAACCCTAGGCCTAGCCAACTTGCTGGAAACTCCCTACTGGCCTCTAGCAAATTCCACTTACGTCCCTGGACGCTACTCTACCCCCAATATGTCCCCAACTTTCCATCTACTTTGTCCCTGTCCAAGGCACAGGCACACAACACGACCAACAGAGTTAGCTCACGGACTTAGACTCAGGCAATCACACGGCGTACATAAATTAGCGCCAGATCACATGCGCACTGGGAAAACACAGCAAAACAGACTCCGAATGAGGATTCTCAGCAAGCAGTCCAAATCGGCAGCATTTTCTCGGAAAAGTGCAGAATTTTCAAGAAAGTTCTTACTATCTCTTACATCCAGTTCGTTTTCATTCAAAATCAAAGCTACAAACACTGCTTCATCAGGCGGGTTCGGATCGAATCAGATGGCCTGTGAGGTTCCACTTCCTTTTTTTTGAAATTTGTGTCTTCTTGATTTCTCACGTGTTCTCTTTTGTGACACAAAACAATGTTCTTTGCATATTGTGTATTTCAGGGGCGAGCTGTGTTTTGTACTGATGGATCTGAAATCATCCCTCATAGTTCGTGTGAGGCAGCCAGTTTGGTGAAGCCTGCAACTGATCAAATCTGCAATGCCATCGCCTGCCAAACATATGCCTGGTTTGAGGGAGAATGGGGCGAATGCAGTGTATCCTGTGGAGGGGGAGTACAAACCAGGTATACCAGGACATTTTGTTTATAATATACCATCATTGTCATTATCCTGGCTATCTTGAAGTGCAATAACTCCAACAAAGGCAATGCCTTTCAATCACGACTGAAATGAATGAACTTGGAAAGAGAAATAGACAAAGGAAGAAGACGAAGAAGATGAACACCAACAAAGACCAATGTCAATCCCCCTTCATCTTGCCACCATCTCCAACCTCCTTTTACTCCCCAAACTTCTCCTTTCTTTGCAATAATAATAATAATAACAGTGACTGTAATTGTCTGTTCCAAGTACTGTAGCATTCTTGTCTCGCTTCTCTTGTCAAGACGGGCGACCGTGTTTTAGTTTGGTATAGGTCTTGGTAGAAGCTTTTTGCTATTCCTAACAGGTCTGGTGGACATCGTCTCCTCCGGGGGCGAGAGAGGGAGGTGGGGGAGTCGCGATCACTGTTGGGCGCGATCACTGTTGGGCGCGATCGAGGTCGGGGTAAGTCAAGCGGGGGGGGGAAAGAAGATCGCGTGGCGGGGAAGAACGGCGTGCGGGGGCCAGGAAATCGCGCGGGGGTCGGGGAGGGGGGCTGAAAGGACGGTTGAAGGAGAAGAAGAGGAAGAGGGAGAAGGGAAACGAGGGGGAAAGAAGGGGAGGGAGAAGGAGGGACGATGACGACGACGATAATAAGGAGGAGGAAGAGTGGAAGAAGACATGAGGGGGGGACGAAGGAAAAGAGGAGGAGAAGAAGAATAAAAGAAAATTTAATGGTATACTGCGCAGCCATACGGGCCTGCAGGGCCTGTCCCGCAGTCTCAGCCTAAAGCCTAGAAACAAGGGCTTACAGGCCCCGTGTCGTTTCAGCCTGAAAGACTGAAAAACGAGGGCCTGCAGGCCCTATGTCGTTTCAGCCTAAAACGGAGGGCCACTTTCGGGCCCTCATAAGATCGACCTGCAGGCCCTGAGTCTTTTCAGCCTGAAACGGAGGGCCACTTTCGGGCCCTCATAAGATCGACCTGCCCTAACACTCAGGCACCAAACCAGGGTTTCGGGAACAGTCTATTTTTGGCCTGTTCCCACGCTAGGAGGTGAGAGAGGGAGATGGCTGGCGGAGGCCAGGGAGACTTACCTGTGGCGCCATAGCTCCAGCTTCATCTTCAAGGTACCTGCATCAAGGCGCCAACTTCACAGGTTAGTACCGGACTGAGAAAGAGAGAGAGAGAGAGAGAGTTCTTCTTCTTCCTCTTCTAAGTCCACCATCTCTTCTTCACCCTCTCACTACTTGACTTCTCAGTATCAGCGGACTACGACAGAGAGAGAGAGTTGTGACTTGAGACTTGACGACATTGGATCCAGACCCGACATTGGGCTTCAGACATTTTGACGAGGGACTATTTGGGCCTGTGCCGAAGACTTGGTGTTGACGACATTCCCATCTTCCCCTCTTCTTCGTCTGTGTATGGTTGGGGACCGGCGCATTCTTCCTGTGTGAGCGCCAGGCCCCTTCACACCATGGAGTGATGATGATGATGTTTGTTCGGGGCTGCATTGCAATATTGATTGTTCAAATCATTGGTATCTAAGTCTTCCGCTACACTATCTTGTACCTGTCTCTTATACACATCTAGATGTGTATAAGAGACAGGTGTATGGTTGGGGACCGGCGCATTCTTCCTGTGTGAGCGCCAGGCCCCTTCACACCATGGAGTGATGATGATGATGTTTGTTCGGGGCTGCATTGCAATATTGATTGTTCAAATCATTGGTATCTAAGTCTTCCGCTACACTATCTTGTACTTTGTGAGAGAGGTCGGTTCTTGTTCTGGTCTGCACCGTTACAGTATGCAACACTTACCTGCGCGTCGGCTTCGGGACCGGTGACGTGGCAGCGACGACGACGAAGGCAGCGAGGTGCTGACGTGTCAGCGGCGATGAAGACAACGGTGATGGCAATGACATGGCAGCGATCGATGATGACGAGGCAGCAATGTCGACGACGTGGCAGCAACGACGATGGCGATGACGTGGCGGCGCTGAAGACGGTGACGATGACGATGATGTTGATGACATGGTGGCGTCGGAGCAGGGCGGGAGGGAGGGCCGTTTCCCCCCTCCGATACCAGTGTGACGCGACCGAGGCAGAGCAGAGAGGTCGAGGGAGAGGGAGAGAGAGATGGAGAGAGTGAGAGCACACACACACACTCACTCGACTCAAACACGGACTCGACTCGACTCGACATGACGGACGCAGACACGAAGTTGCAAAGTCGCAATCTTTGATTCCGAACACAAAGTCGCGGCAAGTCACAGTGAAGCACAAACATTGAGGCCGATCACAAAGTCGCGGCAAGTCACACTGAAACAATCCTAGATGCGGCGCAAGCTCCATGCAGGAATAGAGATGCAATGCAGACTAAGCCTCAAGCCTAATCTATGCAACAATGTCCGATCTTAGTCGACCCAAAAAGCAGAAAAATGTCTGACCTGTGTCGGCCAAGAAAGAGAAAAATGTATGACCTGTGTCGGCCAAGAAAGAGAAAAATGTCTCCTGAGCCAAAGAGGCTGAATATAAATCAACACCAGGGCCCGAAAGGCCAAAGAATAACTAAACCAATGTCCTAAGTCGAAAAAGAATGTGGCACAGTCTCACGTGCCTTGTACACAATGCATAATACCTGAACAAAAGAGAAGGGAACTCAGTCGCATGGCAGAGGTAGGAATGGGTGGGAAGGCGGCAAGTACAACTCTCAAAGTAAACTCCAAGGGGGCACCCACACAACCAGGTAAGGGTCATCAGGCTCAGAGGGAGAGTAACAGCACGACACCGGGCTCAATGGAGACCATCAAACAGGTACTGCCAGCTGAAAGGGGGAAGGGCACTCACACAAGGGAGCACACATAAGGTGAGCCTGGAAGGAGAGAGGGCTATGCCGACATAGACATGTGGCCAAAAGCCGCGAGCAAAGAAAACGTACAGTCCAGAGGACGGCGCGCAGCATACGGTAAGGCAAAAGGGCGGCAGACGGACACACCCACATAGACAGGGAAAATAGGGGTCATCATGCGACTGAAGGGTAAGCTCGAGGGTGTTGGATAGGTGGGAATGATGGGAACTCTGTAGACGAAAAAGTGAAGTAGTCCAGCTGATGAGTCTCCAGACTGAAGTCGAACCGAAGTAGCCTGGATGAAGTAGGAGTACCACAAGAAACCGAGTAGAAGTCTGGAACAATGCGACAGGTACTCTGGTACTGAGGAGAAGCACTGAGGTCGAAAGTCGAATGTAGAAGCAGAATGTAGAAGCCGAAACCGGGAGCTGCTGCATAAGTGTCCAAGAATAGTAAAAAATAGAGAGCATGTAGGGGGTATAGATCAGTCACGATAACGAGAAGGAAGTCGATGGGTGCGCTGAGGGCGAGAGGAATCAACTGCAGCAACAGGCGGAACCACATCCACAGGGGAAGGAGGACCTGAGGCGGGTACCGGTGAAGCAGGAATCGATGGAGGAGGGGGAATGTTAGTGCTCGCTGAGGTAGATGGGTGAGTGGGAGGACGAGAAGTACGAGGGGATGACGATGAAGGGAAAGGGTGAGCACGATCGTAAGCACGCACGAAAGTCATGGCATGCTTCAGGTGCTCGAGAGGCTCCCGAGTAGACTCCTCATCAGGATAACCCTTCCATCAAACGAGATACTCGAGGCGGGGAGGGTAAGGTCGACCGTGGAACTCGGGAGGAGACCGTCTAAAGGGGCGCAAAAGAGATACATCTCGAGGCGGGGAGGGTAAGGTCGACCGTGGAACTCGGGAGGAGACCGTCTAAAGGGGCGCAAAAGAGATACATGGAACACGTCATGTAAGTTAGCGTGGTACATGGAATCGATGAGCTTCAAATTGAAGCTCACCGGACAATCATGATTGGGTCCGGCGGGTGCAAGAATGGTGCACGGTCCAATATATCGACGTTTGAATTTTCGAAGCGTGTCAGCTTCGGGCTGGAAGTGATGTGCGGCGACAAGAACCTCATCGCCAACTTTGAAGGGATGGCCGATGCGAGAGCGGTTAGCGTGAGTGGCCATGCGAGCCTGGGAGTCAGCAATGCTCTCGTGAGCCTTGCTAAGAAGCGCATCCATCTCCTTTACCCAGTCATCGAGGGCAGGGCATTTGGTACCGGGATGGATCTAAGATGGACGGAGAAGGTCAGATGGGACACGAGGATGGTATCCCAAGTCGCAGTAGTAGGGAGACATGCCAGTGGCAGGTGAAATAGCATGGTTATAAGCAATCTCTGCGTGAGCAAGGTGGAGATCCCAATCAGAGTCATTCTCAACAAACTTCTTGAGGATACTCCCAAGAGTTTTGTTGGTGACCTCGGTCTGTCCATCTGACTGGGGTTGATAGGAGGAGGAGAGGCGAAGCTCGGAGCTATAGATCTCATGGAGTCCACACCTGAAATGAGAAGTAAAGCGGGGATCACGATCAAAGACGATGCTAGTGGGGAGACCGTGATGAATGGCAATACGGTTGAAGTATAGGGAGGCGATGTCTTTGGCTGAACTAGCATACTTGCAAGGGAGGAAGTAAGCATGCTTAGTCAACCGACAGACAACGACGAAGATGGCGTCGTGGCCTCGTGGGGTAGGGGGACGAAGAGAACCGATGAAGTCCATGGAGACAGAAGTCCAACGCTGAGTGGGAATGGGTAAGGGCTGAAGAAGACCGTAGGGGGGGTGGTTGGGAATGTTGGCCTCCTGGCAGATCCTGCAGGTGCGGACGTACTCCTTAGTGAAGGGAAGACGGTGCTCCCAGTAGTAATGGCGGTAGAGGCGGTCAAGTGTCTTGAAGACACTGAGATGACCGGCGGCGCGCTGGTCGTGACACTCAGCGACGGCCCGAACACGGAGCTGGCCAGTAGAGGGCACACATACGCGAGGAGTACGGTTACCTTGGCGACCAAGCCAGTATAGGAGTCCAGAGGGATCGAGCTGGAAGTTAGGGATGGACTTGCCAGCCTGTAGGTCAACGTAGATGGACTGAAACTCAGGGCACTGGGTGTATGCGCGGCGATACTCATCCACAAAGGCGGGGTGGATGGTGGGAGCTGAAATAGCAGATAGCTGACGATCCTCACACTGAAGGTCGGGGAGGCGGGATAAGGCATCTGTGACGCGATTGCCTTCGCCGGAAATCTTCTTGATGGTAAAGTCGAACTCTGAGAGATCACGCCACCAACGAGCCTGGCGAGAAGTGAGCTTAGGCTTCGTCTGGAAGGCGGCGAGGACAGAGTTGTCCGTCAAAACGGTGAAAGTGTGACCGTGCAAGTGAGGACGCCACTTCTTAGCAGCGTAGACCAGCGCAAGGACCTCACGCTCGTCGGCAGTATAGTTACGCTCAGCGGGAAGTAGCTGTTGAGATAGGTAAGCAACCGGACACTCTCCATCACGAGATTCGACTGTACCATCATCAGCGGCGTCAGGAATATAAGGGGGTGGGCTCGATCATGAGATTCGACTGTATCGTCATCAGCGACGTCAGGAATATAAGGGGGTGGGCTCGATGGGTGCAAGATGAGCCGCAGTCGCTGGAGGTGGGGGAAGGAAGCGAGGAATGCGAGGGAGGCGGGACTCTATGGAATCGGGAGAAGTGGAAGAGGATGGGTAGATCTAGGAGAGAACAACTCCAATAGCGAAGTCGGACACGTCAGTGGTGACGATGAATGGACGCGAGTAGTCGGGCAAGTGTAAGACAGGAGCTGGCGTGACAAGTCGCTTGAGAGAGCGGAAGGCATCCTCATGAGCCGGGGTCCAATGAAAAGGGAGACGTCCGCGGGTCAGAGGGGTAAGTGGGGAAGAATACTGCGCGTAGTTTTTGAGAAAAGGACCATAGTAGTTGGTCAAACCGAGAAAACTACGCAGACCGGGGAGAGATGTAGGGGTAGGCCAATCGGCGATGGCCTGGATCTTCGAGTCGTCCATGTGGAGGCCGTGCTCGGATACTGATGCCCGAGGAAGTCGACTTTGGGTTGAGCAAAGCTGCATTTGGAAAGCTTCGAATGGAGCCCGTGGTCGCGCAGTCGCTGCAGGACAGTGCGAAGATGGGTCAGGTGATCCTCTAGGGCACGACTGTAGATCAGGATGTCGTCAATGTAGACTAGAACAGAGTCCTCAAGGAGGTCTTGGAACATCGTGTTCATAGCCGTTTGGGAAGTGGCGGGGGCATTACGGAGACCGAAAGGCATGACGGTAAACTCATAGTGCCCGAAACGAGAATGAAAAGCGGTTTTGGGCTGGTCCTCCTCGGCTATGCGGATCTAGTGATATCCGCTACGAAGATCGATCTTCGTGAAGAAATGGTGGCCAGCGATGCGGTCAAACAGATCATCCGCGCGAGGCATGAGATAGTTGTTTTTGACCGTGTAGTGGTTGAGACCGCAATAGTCAATACAGCGACGAAGGGTGTTGTCCTTCTTGCGATCGAAGAGGACTGGGGCACTCCATGGGGAAGTACTCGGTTTAATGAAGCCCTGACCAAGTAGCTCCTCAAGTTGGCGCTTGAGTTCTTGGGCTTCGAGAACCGAAAGGCAATATGGGGCGCGATTCTGAATGCGATAGTTGGGCTCGAGCTGGATGTGGTGCTCGATATCGGGCATGGGAGGAATACTGCTGTAGAAGACGGGTGGTGGGAAAACATCTCGATACTCGCGAAGGAGGGCACCAACACTAGGCGACAAGGAAGAAAGAAGGGTGCGAAATTCCTTGGCAGCGGCGGCATCTGAAGCAGAGGTGGAGGGAGTCTGTGTGGAGGTGGGGACTAAGGGTGTGTCCGTGGTAAGGGAAGCGAGGAGGTGAAATGGGCTAGCAGGGGTAGAGGAGGGTAAGGAAGTTGAGGAATCAGGATGGTCGGGGGGCTCGGGAGGTGGTGGATCGAGCTCGACCAACTCAACGTCCTGATGCATGGAGTTGCAGGTGAGGAGATCCGTGATGTCGACAACATAAAGTTCTACATCAGGCGGACGAAGGAAGTGGTGGAACTGGGTAGGTGTACATATGGTGACATTAACAGGGGGAAAGTGTAGAGTCCGATTTGCCCAACAACGGAATACGGTATTGCTTCCCATCCTTGGCGTCGAGGACGAGATCGTTGTGGGTCCAATCGGGGCCGGCATGGGCGAACTGATGGGAGTAGGGAGTGCCAAGAACAAGATCGTATAGGGTTTCCATGACATCGAAGGTCCACTGGTCATGGAACCGAGGGGCCTTGCGAAGGTTGTGGGGCATCCGCAAGGGGAAGGAAAATGGAAGATCAGGCACCACACTGTCGACAAAGGATTTGGCCTGATTGTCGCCAAGCGTGACAGTGACAGTGGAAGGGTAGGGGGATGTATAGAGAGATGCCTCCTTGACTACGCGAGGATGAATGAAGTCGCCAGTAGAGCCAGAGTCCCATAATGCGCGATACACTCTAGTAGAGGTCCAGACGCACTGGAATAATCGGTAAGGTACGATCGAGATTGTGTAGGCGCTGAGACATCGCGGACAGGGTGTGCTCTTTAAGGCAGAGACGTTCCTGATGGACCTTAACACACTCGAGGTCCAGGAAGTCGATGATATCCTCAACTGCGATAAGGGGAGCACTGCAACGGGCTGTGCGAAGAGCACGCCTGGTAGGGGGACGTTGAGGAGGGGGGTCACGAGAGACGCTAGGCGAGGAAGGAGAAGGTATACCAGTGCCGGTAGGGTCAGCCAAAGATAAAGTCGGGGCAGAGTCATCAGGAAGATTAGCAAGCAGCGCAAAGGTAGAGTCGCGAACGGGTATGCCTGCTACCGTAGGAGGGGCAGGGGAATGAGACATCGCGGCTAGGTGGGTGCTGCGCTGGAGGTCGTGACGGGGGGAACAGCCTGAGGGCGAGCTTGCTGTGCGAAGTGACTCTGGAGGGCGTCTGCGTACGGGCACGTAAAGGAGGTATGGCCGGTGAGGCGGCAGCGGGTGCAGATGCCTCGTGTACGAAGGTCCTCACTCTCAGCGATGGTCAAGCGGGTGCGAGGGAACACAAAGCCCGTTGGGAGGGGTAGTTGAGGGACTGTAGAGGTCCTGGAAGATGAGGGCTGGCGACAGAGGAGGGCGGAAAGGGCCCGGACGAGGCGGTCGTCCTGGGAAGAGGCGTCGTCCTCTGCGGGGGACTGAGGGTCGGGTCCCTGGTCTGGGTCACTCACAGAACCATCTGAAGCGGTGCCATCATCAACGCTCGACGGATCACGAAGCAGGGCATGCAAGCGGCGAGAGAGGGATCGTCCAGAGCCTCTACGAGGGCCACAACGGTATGTGGAAGACTGTCGAGGATGGGAGGGGCGAGGGCCTACAGTAGTAGCGGACTGGGCAGCGGTGGGCTGAGGCGAGGCCGACGAGTGGAGCATAAGTGAGATGAATGGCCCTAGCAATGTTAAAAGCCTCTGGTAAGGTGGGGATCAAATACGCCAACATCTGCAACTTGAATGGCTGGGGTAGGCCTGCGCGGAATCGCTGGATCATGGTGTCTTTTGATATGGCTGTGATGGGAATCTGAGCGCGTACACGGTGAAATGTCGTTATGTATGATTGACTCTAAGGCATTGTCGCCACCAAGCCATCTAATCTCAGCCACACGGGTAATCGGATTGCGGGTTGGCGCTGAAGGAAGTCGCGAAACTCGGGATAAGACATGCCCTCATGTACGCCGCTGTCGGTGCGAATACCCTTACAAGGGTATCCGCCATGTTTTTTTGCAAGCAACAGAAAATGAGTTGATTTAAGATTTAATGAATACCGCGCGAGGCACGACTGTGTCTGAGATTTACATTGGCTGAATGGTTGATTATAGTAGAGAGTGAGTGGGCACGCAGATGGAAGGCGCGCATGATCTCTTTTTCCCTTTTTAATGATTATGAAAACCGACGTGACTGCTGGACATATTTTTACTTCTGACTAAGCCAGGTTTGAAAAGATTTTGTCTCTTGACTGATTGGTGCACTTGGCTATGACTTGTGCGTACGTGCAGAGGACGACATCGACAACAAGGAGGGTTTAAAGGATCTTTGGTGGGCCCGCGAGTCGCGAGTCGCGCGGTGTCCGTTTATGTAGGCGTCTGCCAAAGCCAAACCCAGACTTGGGCTTAGCAGCAGTGGTTACAACGTCCGACTTTCATTAGAGAGATTCGGGGATCGAGACCGAGTGACGACAGCGCGGGGATATCAGAGTAGCACGAAGGGGACCGAGGGGTTGAGGGCCCGGCGGGGCTATCCCCTTTGGTTTGTCATCAGCAGGCGTAAAGCTGGGCTCCTCGTTTGCCATATTCGGACAATAAAAGTTTCTAAAAATTTCTATTATTTATTATTGTATTATTATTTTTTTTAATTATGCGTCGGCGTTCCTTAACCCAGACGCAGCGCCGGGTTTAGAGGCCGACATGTCAGTCAGGGACCTTGAGTGCGTGGTTCCTAAGTCTGACCGGCGAGTTCTCGCGTGTTCAGGATGCTGGCAAAACCCCTCTATCCGACCCGTTGTTGAAAACATGGACCGAGGAGTCCGACGGGTATGCGAGCCGGTGGGTGATTAGCCCACGGGCCGGAGGGAATTTAAGTGGCGGGACCTTTCTGCAGAAGCACCGTCAGATCCCCGCCATTCATGGTGGGGAGGTTGGGTATGAGTGTGCCCGCGGGACGCTCCTCACTTTGGTCTTCAAAGTTCTCGTTTGAATATCTGATATCACCACCAGGTTCTGCAATGGGCCCCGCTTTACCAAGGCGTACGCTACAGGCCCGCTGCTGACCCGCGCCCACGATGCGGTGATCTGCTATCCATGTGTGAACGGGGCGGTTGGGACCCGAAAAGTGGCCAACTCTGCCTAAGCAGATCGGGCCTGAGGAAGCTCTGGCAGAAACTTACAATAATATTGCATGCAGTAGTTTGATAGGCTAGGCGTTGAGGTAGGGGCCAGAGAAAATCCTCCTGGAAAGTCGCACCGACCACTGTTGGGCAGACCGCTCGTCGGGCTTGGGTATAGGGAAGAGAAGAAAAAAAAGGGAAAAAAAGGAGAGATGGGGCCACTCCGTTGTGGGCTCTCTTGAAATTACTACGACGGGTAGGATTCCCGAACTGCGCTATTGCATAGTTGGCACTGGTGGTAGTGAAGGAGGACGAATGAACCTCGACGGATTTGGCGCCAGGCCTATTCAGAGAAAACGAAGATGGTGAAGTAAGAATATGGCGGAGTTGGAAATGGTCAGTTCGGTTGTTTCTTGATTGAATCAGGCAAGGGAAGGAGCTACTCCGGTGTTTTGAGGTTGTGCGAACGCCATGGAAAAGTCAGAATGGCAGATAGGGGAGTAGGTTGGTGGATATAGGAGAAAAGTCCTGCGCGGAAAGTTGGCGGTGACGGGTGTGGCGGAGGCAAGAGACTTACCTCGTTCGTTGCTTGATGAGATCGAGTGAGGTAACAAGATAGGTTGGGGTTTTGGGCCAGGGCGAATCCGACGGCAGTGTCGGATCTTGCGTTGAGGACGTAGATTCGACGGTAACTGGATTGGGAACTGTGCAAGGGAGGGAAGTGAACCTGGTCGTATACAGCGGAAGATTCACTCTTAGTTAACAGGCAGAAAGGTGGCAGGGCGCTAGCGGCGACGAGAAGGACGTGCACGGGGATATCACGGAGAGTGTCGAGGGAAGGAGAAGGAATCGGGAGCAAGAATCGCATGGCTCGCTCGTTCCTTAACGGAAGCGAGCGAGTGAAGAGTCGAAACAAGGAGCTGCGAGTGGAAGAAGAAATTACATAAAAAGGAATGAATCCGCCCTTACTCTAGGGGGAGATTCGTTCTCATTGTCGTGCCTTGAACAGGGTAGGATTGCCAGCGGGAGTGGCAGAGGAAGAAAGAGCTCACCTCGAAGGAGGGGATTGGTGATGGGGTACATGGTTGCGTTTGCCTTCTAAGACAACGGGAGTGGAGCGAACCTGACCGCTATTGCGGGCCAGGCGCATCGGGAAAGGGGCCGCTCGGTTCGGGATGTCTGTATTGCTTGCAAGAGATGACGGATGGTTGTCGAAGTGACTCCTTGGCTCAGTGCGTAGTGGGAAACGACAGCCGCGAGGTTGGGGACATGCCCGCAGGCCAGTGCACGCCAGCGGAAAGCTCAGTCTGACTTGCTCAGTCGAACGAAGGAGGCAGCGTGAGCATGGACGTGAAGTTTGAGACTTACTTGTCCGCAGGTGCATTGCTCATCCTAACAATGAAAGATTCTCTCTCTTTCCCTTGCGCATGCGCAAGACAACTCGTGCACTTGGTCAGGATCCGGCGGAAGATCCATTCGAGTTTGTCCATATTACCAATGGGATTAGTGTGAAGTGGGCTGCAGGGCTGGAGGCTTACTCGCGATCGGTGTGACCGGGCAAGTAGGAGGAGGGGCCCGGGATACAGATAAAGGTGATGGCGGGGGTATGCTCTCGGTGACCTTCAGACCCAGTGTCTTGGGTCCTTGTGGGAGGAATACCGGTGCATCTCTGTTTTCTGAAAAGTGACGAACTGTAGAGAGTCAGACTGCTGGCTGCTGCTGACTGCTGTTGGCTGCTATTGGCTGCTGCTGACTGTCGTTGGCTGACTGCTGACTGTTACAAGTTGTGGCAAACTGCTACTGGCTGACTGGTGACTGCTACAGGCTGTGGCAAACTGCTGCTAGGTGACTGTTGATCGATACAGATTGCTTCTGGCTGCTGCGTAGCGACGATTGGTCTAAGGAGAGGTGTTGGGACTTATAGGAGTGAAAGGGGCTGTTGCGACGATTCGGAAGGTCGTCTGGGAGTTGAATTCAACAGTTTGACTTCAGAGTTTGATCAAGCTGCTGCAGCCTGGCCACCATTGCGGGGCCCTCATGCGATTTAAGGCATCGAGGCCGTCTCCAGAGAGTTGAGTTGTTCCCCTCTTGTATCTCGAAAGTCTCAGACCCCTTATTCTGCCTTCTAAATCTAAGTCTAATCCGGTTCTGAGAGGAAGGCGGCAAGCGGGATTGCAACCCGTAGGACCGCAGCAAGACTCTGTGGGGAGTCAACCCACCGATTGCAAGAGCTCTGCGGAACTCACGAGGAGTTCTGGGGGCAGGGAATTGAAAGGTAACCGTTGCTTTCCTTCTATAAACCCAGTATAACCCCTACTTGTATTCATTGCTATGTTTGACTGAGTATACTGAATGCGTCCCTACTTTGACTCTTAGTTTGACTTTCAGGACATAAACCAGACTAAGTAAAGGAACGTATGTGCAATGTGAGTTTCAGTTTTATTGTTTGACTGAAAGCAAATTGTGGGGTTGCATCTGGGGGAAGGATGGGAGAAAGGCAGTATTGCATGAAGTTTGACTGGGTCAATCAAGGGTTGGGCCAGTTCCATAAGTTTGGGAAGTCCCAGTGCTATGTTTATTTTGAATTGTCCGGAGAACCAGACATGTTTCATAAGTTTGGGTGGTCTGGTTGCTCTGATTTATGAGGACTGAATGTGGCTGACTTTTCAGGGACCAAGCATGTTCCATAAGTTTGGGTTGGTCGCCTTGTTTACTTTGGGTTGTTGTCAATTTCTTTAGTTCCTGAACGAGGAGGTATGAGCATGTTCCATAAGTTTGGGTGGCTCAGCCTCTTCCTGCTTTGGCTTTGAGAGAAATGAACCACGCTGAGGGTCAAGACATGTTCCATAAGTTTGGG